ATTCGGCCCCCATGGAGGCGCAATTCATCGCACAAGAGAATGCAAGACTACACCAAGAAACCCATCCATTAGCGGCAGAAACCGTTTTAAAGTCGACTTACATGGATGACTCGATAGACAGTGTGGAGACAGACGAGATCGGCGTTAAGTTATATCGGCAGTTAAGCTCGCTTTGGAATCATGCGGGAATGCAGGCAAGGAAGTGGGTTTCGAATTCGGAAGCGGTTATGGAGGCGATCTCAGTAGAAGACCAAGCAGTGCAGCTCACAATTACGGATGACAAATACCCAGTTGTTAAAACCCTTGGTGTTGCTTGGGACAGCAAAGAAGATATCCTGACACTACCTGCTTCGAGAGTCTCCTCCGACCTTCCACTAACCAAGCGTAACGTTTTACGAACGGTTGCTGCGGTATTTGACCCACTTGGGTTTGTCAGTCCATTCGTAATGGTCGCCAAGGTTATATTGCAAGAACTTTGGGCTCGTGGCTACGACTGGGATGACACAATCGAAGATGAAATCGCAATTCGGATATAAGCATGGTTTGAGCAGTTACGTGATGTCGCAACAATACATGTGCCAAGGTGTTTATGTGAGAACAAGGTAGTAGCTCGTCGAGAAATGGTGACATTCGTTGACGCTTCACTAAAGTCATACGGAGCTGTTGTCTATTTGAGATGTACATACGAGGATGGCACTCGCTCTAGCAGATTAATCGCCTCTAAGAGTAAGGTAGCACCGTTGCTACCAATGACGGTACCTAGACTAGAATTAATGGCTGCAGTTCTCGGCCTACGACTTACGCAGAATGTTCTTCGGGCGTTTGAAGCTATGGTGGATTCGTGGCTATGGGAGAGACTTTCGGCCGTTTATAGCTAACCGAATTGGAGAGATACAAATGTATAGCAATCCTGCACAGTGGCAGCACGTCCCAACTGCTGAAAATCCTGCGGACCTGTGCACGCGAGGTGCAACACCATTGCAATTGTCCGAGTCTACGTTTTGGTGGAATGGTCCAGTATGGTTGGTACAGGATACTTCGCAGTGGCCTCAAATGGATTTGACGAAATCTCCAGTTAATCTTCCGGAAACGAAAGCTGCCCACAAGAAATATAGCAAAGGAAATGCAGTGGTTCCTGATGGTAGTCACAGTCTGGCAACGAAAGCAGAAGAAGTGATACAACCCACAGATATCTGGCGGTTGGATCCAAAACGGTTTTCAGACTGGAAGCACTTAGTCCGCATACAAGCAAGAGTTAGCAGGTTCTTGACGAATTTGAGGAGCAAGAAGAAGCGTCAGCAGTGCCAAACCGAGCTCGCACCGGAGGAAATTCGTGATGCTGAAGACGTGATCATTCGTAAAGCACAAGAAGAGTCCTTTGCAGCGGAGTACGCAGCTCTATCGAATGGAAAACCTCTGCCAGCGAAGAGTCAACTGGCGAAGCTTTCTCCGCGCATGGATCAGCAAGGTGTTATTCGGTGCAACAGCCGTCTCTACTACGCTGAGAGCTTACCCTACGACGCAAGATGCCCGATAATTCTGCCTCGCGGACATTGGGTTACCAAACTGATCGTGCGATATTATCATGCATTGGCAAACCACGTCGCAGGAACTAATTTTGTGCTTGCTCAAATCAGCCAAAGATTTTGGATTCATGGTCAGCTAGGCGGAGAATTCGCACCAGAGGTGATCGACATGGACGCTAACCCTCGTGAAAGATGGCGTAAGGTACAAGCAATTCTGTCACGAGTATGGGACCGCTGGTTGAAGGAATATTTACCAACATTGAACACACGACCGAAGTGGACGAACGTGGTAAAAGATTTGAAAGATGGTGACGTTGTTCTGGTCTTAGATAAAGACTTACCGAGAGGAAAATGGCCGTTGGGACGAATCATAGCGACATATCCAGGGAAAGACGGACATAGCAGAGTGGCAAAGGTGCAGCTGGGAAACAAGTCATTGGTCAGACCCATTCACAAACTTGTCCCACTAAGAGTATAGTTTATTGACTTGTAGATAGAGCCTTCAGTTTGAAAGGACTCGGGACCTTAAACTTGAACATTGATATTATGGACTAGAAAGGAGTTAAAATAGTTAAATCGCACTGCAATTGCATGTTCAGCAGTGCGGGGAGGGGGGATGTTTAGAAGAGATATGACTTTTTCACGCAAAACGCGGGACACGCGCGCAGACAATCAGTGGATTATTGAGATCAGAGTAATATACGCCAGAACGCTAGTAAACAGTAAACTCGTGTAGGAATTTCGTATTAAAGTTTATTTTCACTGTTTTTGTACTAAATCGAGTACTTTTCGAGGCTAAATATCGTTACATCGCAACAATGCTGCTTTTAGACAAATGTAATGACTGTTGTTCAAGTATTGTCTGTTGTGTGTGTTTAGTATACCTTGTAAATTGTGTCTGTATAACTATTGGGGCCGCTGTAATTGGCAATAGCTGTTGTGGTTTCCCAGCCAATGAATGTATAAGGATGATGGCAAAGTAAATACATAAATAAATAAATATTGCGCGAATAGATCAGAATGAATTCTTCATTGTCACTGATTTGCTTTAACGTGTATGTACATGGCGTTCTTTTAATACAGTGTTGATGTTCCCAGCCTGTGCGAGAGGATTAACAGCGTCCATCTCTCCAGCTTCATCTTTACAGAATAAAGCTGAGGTCAAATGTGAATCCTTGGCGTCTTCATGCTAAAGTTCAGAATCATTCGAAATACGATCGGTAGTGGTAGTGGTAGTGGTAGGCCGTGGTTGATGGAGTGACCAGCTTGTTCAGAAACACTTCTACTTGCGAGAACAACGTTTACATCCAAAGTTTATAGGTCTAACTTGAACGTCTCTACCTACATTTGCTCGTCTGCGGTTGCGATATTTGCTTTAACGTTTAGATAACTGCTTGCTAGGTCAGTGTAAACTCTCGTATTTGCTGCTCATAGCAATTCAATCGTGTCTGAGGAAGTTTTTTTTATATTCTTGTAATAGGATAAACATCTTTCTTGAATTTTTTTCCATTACCACTTGAGTAGGTGGAACAGAAAATACATCGAGTTCAGACTTTGCACAAAACAAGAATCTTTATGTATTGTTTCAAGAGCCATTCCGCTTCGGATTATTGTCTAGCTTGGTCTGAGAACGAATGACAGTTTTTGTGAGTGCAGCTCTTTCATTCCTTTCTTAAGCCCAAGACCAGTCATCGCCTTCTTGACAACTTGCGAATCACTGACCACTTGTTTAGTGGCATTAGACTCTTCTGTATCGCAAAGAACCGAATATTATATTCCTTTAAAAGCCTTTGCAACTCTCTGTTGGTCCTCAATGCCAAAATTCGCAGGGATTTTCTCGGTCTGCACAGACAAAGTATGGTCGCCTGAAGTTTTGCTTCATTTGGTCTTTCACCATACGAACTTTCGTCGGTTTCTAATGCGTAGGGCACACGGGGGGCCCCCTGTGGATTGCATTGATTTACTTGGGGGCCCCTGTGGATTGCATTGATTTATAGTGGGGCCCCCTGTGGATTGCATTGATTTACTTCAACCGTAAAACAAGGTTTGAAATCATGTGATATTTTCAAATTTGAGTTTGCAAAAACGACTTAATATCAGCCTTCCTTCTAGTCTGCGAACCCAGACGTCATTTCTCACGCTCATTCTTCGCTCGGAAAGTCACTTTCCGAGAGAAGCATGAGCGTGGGAAATGACGTCTGGGTTCGCAGACTACCTTTCCTATTTCACAAAGCTTTAAAGCCGGTTTTCCATTAGGCGGAATTTTGCGCGCGGAGCGGAATTTTTCTTTGTCTTGTGATTTCTCGGGTGAAGCTAATTAGAAAAGACAAAGAAAAATTCCGCTCCGCGCGCAAAATTTCACCTAGTGGAAAACTGGCTTAACACTGTCAGATGGTGGAGCTGGAATTGCTGGGTTGTAGCTAAAAGGTCAACAACAACAAAATTACAGTCGATATATTCAATGCTGAGGTTGTATTTCTTTTCCAACCACAATATTTTTGTTATTTTACACTTTTTTATCTATCACTACAACTAGAATTGGGTCTTTTTTCTTAGCCTGAAAGAAGAAACGCAGATTATGTGAGCACGGTATCGTTTTCCAGTTTTACGACGAAATACCTTAAGTCCGACGCATTTGTGACCACATTGCCGAATGCCGTCGCTAATACCCTACGCTTGCCCTATTTTTTTCAATTGAAGACTTGCGCACAAAGCAGATGTGTTTCAAAGAAGTAGCCTTCAATGTTATCGCGTTGTGTTGATGCCTATCAAAGACGTTAATTAATCTGGCTATGTCATGAAAACATCTACACGCACCAAAATATTTTCCCAAACAGTTGTAATCGAAGGGTTTTTAAAAGAATACAAAGTACAAGAAACTTCAATTTTGTGACAAATATAAACGTTGTTTAGTCTGTTTTTAGGAATGTTCTACAGCATGAATTAAATCCTACCAAGTTCATGGAAGATAATGGTTGATTACACATCGGTTGGTGGGGCAGTTCCACTTGGGTGAGGTCGACTGGGTCGTCCGCTTGGGCGAGGTCGTCCGCTGGGTCGTCCACTTGGGTGAGGTCGTCTACTTGGGTGAGGTCGTCCACTTGGATGAGGTCCTCCGCTGGGTCGTCCGCTTGGACGAGATCTCCCGCTGGGTTGTCCGGTTGGTCGAGGTTTCTAAAGATATTTGTGATTCTAATTAAAAACTCGTGGAAAAAAACACAAAAGGATGCCATGACCTTTTATAGAGCTTTTATAACTTAATAAAGCAAAATTGAAGCAACATAAGCTTTAAGTTCTTTTTCTCACCAAATAATATTAAAGATTCTTACGAATCACAGCCTCGGTGATGTATTAGATATACCGCCTTCAGTTCACATTATATTATTATTTAAAAATCTTTATACACGGAACTTTTTTCAGCAATATATACAGGGTGTATCAAAAAAACTGAACAGATTTGAAATTGCTCTCAATTTTGCAAAACAGGGGGGTGTCTTTTCCAACAAACTAAAAATGGCTTGCGCACGAGATTTAAAAGCTTTGATCGTATTTTGAGTTAATGGGTGAAAAATGTGTTGGGTGTTTAATTGCTGCACGAAATTCCAGACAATTTGCTTCAGTTTAAGCCTTTAACTATTCACGCAAACGTACATTTTTTCCTAAAAAATCGGCCTTTTGCATGCTCTCATGCTTATTTAATGTCTTTGCCTAATTTGCATATGTCAGCAAAATGCAAATTAGGTAAAGGTATTAATTAAGCATGCACAAGGCTGATCTTAAACCAAAGCAAATTGTCTGAAATTTTGTACAGTAAATAAAAACCCAACAATGTTTCATCCATTAACTCAAAATACGATTAAAGCTTTTAAATTACGTGCGCAAGCCATTTTTAGTTTGTTGGAAAAGAAACACTCCCCGGTTTACACAATTTGAGTTCGAGTATTTTTTTCATTATTCTACATATGGGTACTCAAGGAATCTATATATAACGAATATCATGAGCTGCATGTTTTTCGAAATTGAGAGCTGCTTTTCAAAAGGCCGTGTGATTACGCTAAAATTACAATAATATCAGTACGGTACAGGACAATATATAATTTATTTCTAATACATTTAATACGCTATAACCCACTATATCAATTCATTGAATCAAGTTAATTGCTTTGTTTCTTTCTGAAATACTCTGTGAGTTCCAGATGTTGGAGGCGACATAACTGAACGATTTTTTCATTGCATTAGTTTTTGGTTTAGCCAACCTCAGCATTAAGTTGCATGTTACTTCTTAAATTATGGTTATAATTGTAGGAAAGTTGAAACATTTCGGTCAGGCCTGGAAAAAGTGTTCAATGTTCCTCGGATCCTGAATTTGCCTTTTTCAAATGTTGCTCCATTATACTGGTTGTAAAATTGCTGAGGAAACAAAACAATATTGAAATTCTATTGAAAGGATATGAAGAACACTTCGCAATCTCAAAATAGACTGAAATGGCAGATAACTAAATATGATTCCTTAAAATTCTCCCTTACAGTACGCGTGAAAAATTCAAAATGTTCCTCCATCTTGTTGATTCAAAAAATTCAAAATCTTCCTATATATAACAATTAACATTGTATAATTGCATTCACACAGTTATTTAGCAAATTTCCCATTTTAGAAGAAGTTGATATTCTTACCCTACACATTCCTTTCATGGGAAAATGTTTGCACTGCAAATAGAAAAATAAACAGTTGTGTAAAGCAAAGTTATTATTTAAGTAGTATTAGAACACCTTTAATTAAATGAGGAAAAAGCAAAACAAATGAGTTTTGCACTTTTTCGTGTTTGGATCGCCAAGGTATATTTATAATATAGCATTTGGAAATTCTGAACGCTGATTGGCTAAGAGCCGTGTTGATATAACTCATTGTCAACACGGGAAATTTTTCGCCGCTTGTAAACACGGAAATTTTTCTTATCCTTCGGGCTTTTGACATTGCTATATTATAAAAAAATATAAAACATTTTTTCCGTATTGATATATAGTTATATCAACACTCGTGGAAGTTGGGAAAACTCGAAATTGTATGAAAACACTCGGCGTCGTGTTTCCATACAATTTCTCGTTTTCCCAATTCCACTCGTGTTGATATAACTGTTTATCACATACTTGTTCCTTTATCAGGTAGGAAGCAGCGGGACATAATCAAAGGCCTTCGAGGCCGACTCACGGATGAGATCAAATTAATTAAAGGGGGATATGATTTACAGCAGTTTTTTACAAATGGGAACCGTGCAAGGGCAAGGACATTATTTGGTAAAACACGACATAATATAAAATGTTCCCGAAGATCTTACAGGTTTAAACAGTTTAATTTTAACGACATCCTCGATTTTAACAATAAGGGACCGGTCATTAATTATGCCTTCCTTCGAGAGGGGAGGAAAAAATAAGGGGGGCATATGTAGAAATGACTAGAAGGGGGGCTATTAAATTTTTTCAAGAAAATGACAGGGGGTGTTGCAATTAAACTTGAAGGAATTTGCTTAATAACCTGGTATCCATTTGGTTGTAAATGTTGCAACTAAATCATGGTCACTGATGTGAAATAGTCTGGATTCATCTTGTCTTGTGTGTGCTGTATGCAGTATACAAATCAGTCTTTACGGATTGCAGACTAGTTAAATTGACAATGTATTATTACATCAGCTCTTGATGTGGTTAAATACATTTAAATTAAGCAAGGTTAACGGCGTTTGTATTATGCAGGCCACATCCGCTTCGGGGAATCTGTGACGTCATATCGATCAAAGGGGATTGTTTCATGCCTTGTGATCAGTGCTTCGGTCTGGGTATTCATTCTACCATTGTATGCTTTGCCTAGCTGCAGCAAGTTTTGCGCTTCGATACCTTTTCCCGACCCACCCACCCATGTTCATTCTAAAAGATTTTATCTGGTAGCTAGTATATGTCATTTTATTTTATATAATTTTAAATCTCACATAAAATAGGATGTATAGACCACTATACATTGTATTTCGCAGGTATGCCTTGGCAGAATTGTCATTGCTATCTCCTTTTGCTGCTAATATTACTGATTGTTGCTCTCATTGTTGCTGCGGTGCAGCTGCTATGGAAAAACTTCGTACCATCAAGTCTAGTTGCAGCCTTAAACATGGTTACAATCGCCCAGACCAAATGGAAACCTGATTTTAGTGTTCTATATAAAAAATACTCCTCTTTTAATCTAGTAATTTTCTGCTAATAAATATATATTTTTGGTCGACGTTAATATCTTGCCAGTTCCATATTCTTATTTAATAATTAATACTATAACGCCTGCATGGGTATCCCCATTTGACGAGTAAAAATGAAAGTGGGGGGGGGGTCAAAGAAAAATATTCTAATATGCTGCAGGGGGAGCCATCATTAAATTTTCTGCCATTTAGGGGGGGGGGGCTTTCAATTTTAAAAATTTAGAAAAGAAAAAATTCCCCTTCCCCTTCCATAAATAATGACCTGTCCCTAACCAATATCAACAGTCTTGAAAAAACAATCTGATAGATTATTATAAAACTACACACCATCAAATCAAATCTATATAAAAGTACAATAACCGTAGCTGTCAGATGTGTATAGTGTTCAACAGAATAATTATAAGTATAAAGCGGTACCTAATACAGTCAGTATCAGTACATCCAATGACTGTGGCTTTCCGATATGTACAGTGTTAAACAGACTGACAATTTAAACATGATAACTATAATAAGTATAAAGCTGCACCCAATGTAATATATCAAATGACCGTAGCTGTCCGATCTAGAGTGTTGAACAGGACAATTTAAACATGATAGCTATAAGTATAAAGCTGTAACCAATACAGACATTCCAAATCAACGACCGTAGCTGTGCGATGTACAGTGTACAGTGTTGAACAGAAAAATTTAAACAGAACAACTATAAAACAGCACCCTTATTGATACAACGGTACAGGTAGCTGTCCAATGGCAGTACAGTGTTTAAGTAAATCCAGGTGGTAATGCTGCCTCAGTGTCCAATATTCTTTTTCTTTTTAGACCATTTATAATTGTTACCAAACTGTGAATAAACATAAATATCTACATTGAAAAGGGAATGGCTGCAAAAATTTCAATATCAGTCCCCCACACACACTGTTCCGCATGTTGCTTGTGGCTAAATAATGATCCTACTGAACTATTCATATATGGTCCAAGGGCATGTTCTATACTGTTCATGTGATCCACTATTTTTTGTCTTAAAATCATGTGGTATGTTTGTCTACCGGTTAAAATATACGACAGTGCTCTAAATAAACAATTGCCATCCCCAGTAATCCGACAGAGTTTCGTTGGATTAACTAGTGGTTTTGATGTTGTTTCATTGCGTCTAAATATAAGTGGGACATTCATCAAAGAGCATAAGGACAGCTGAAATTCTCCTGATAGAGGATAAAAATGAAGCGATTTATCGATACACTGCTGAGACTTGTCCGTGCCAGCTGATACTAGGCTACAGTGCAGCTGATACTAGGCTACAGTGCAATTTTTTGAAGCCTCGTTTTGGTGAGAGCGAAAGTGCGGTTGAATCCTGTGTTGAATCCTGTGGTAGCTTCACACTAGTGAACAAGATTTTGTGTCGTGTTGCTTCAAATAAGACAAATATGTCCTTTGTATTCCGTGACAGCTAAAACATGAATTATTTAAATAACATGATTAAATTTGGTAAACAAAAAACTCTTTCAATCGACAGAAACTATGGAAACAGTGTTGAAACGGTGTTGAAACACAGCTGACAGAGGCGCTCGAAAGACACCAGAAAATGGGAACACTTGTATATATATTGAACAAAATATTGTTAATATTTCAGCTAAAAGGTAGATCAGTGTGTTAACAGCAGATCTGTTGGGTGAAGTAGAAAAACAGATAACAATTACATGTAAGTCAACTAAACAAAAACGAAACACTCACCTTTTAATTTAACATACGCTTGTCAAAAAGTCAAAAGTTGAAAAGAACGTGAAGCGTGCTCCAGCCCAATTTTCGGTTCCAAAAGACCCGTTCGCAGGCAAACACTGCGCGCAAAGCAGGCTGGTCATTTCCCATTGTTTAACTGCCCCCACTCAAGTAAACCACAAAGACTCACAGATGTTGCTTCGCAACATCCGTGAGTCAAAAATGGTTAACAATACCACAGGTTCTCTTATTACGTTTGATGTGAGACTTGTAATTAGCGAGTCGG